TAATTTGGGCTTTCACCAATAATAGTAAAGGAGAGAGCATTGAAATTATCAATGCTGGTGAGTCAGTGGCTCAAGTACTAACTAAAATGTATGAAAAAAGATAATTTTTCTTAAAGTATTGTGAGGCACATCAAGCTTTTAATTCTGCAATACTTTTTTTTTTTTTTGAGACAAGGTCTTGCTATGTATTCAGGCCCTGAACTCACTGTGTAGCTCAGACTGGCCTTTAATTCATGGTGATGCTCTTTGCCTCAGCCTCCTGAGTGCTGGGATTAAAGGCATGCATCATTATGCCTAGTTGTAATTTATTAATTTGTTTTCAGTTAGTTTTTCTGATGTTGCTTGTTGCTATATTTTAAAGGCAAACATTTAAATAAAAATATGAACAGCAGGTTTCATTTTATGATTAAACATCTACACCTATGTATGTTTTTTAAATTGCAGGTGTTTGGCCGATGACTGAGAGAGAAGATGACTTAAAAGTTTCTGCCGCAGTTTCTCCAAACTTTGATTCAGTGTCTGTAGGTATATTTACATAGCTGAAATTGAGATAAAAATGTAGTATCTTAAACTCTGGACATTCCAATGGAAACTTCAGCAAAGAACAAATTTGAGGCTGTGACTTTCTGGGTTCAATGTAGTTCTGTTCTTACTAGCTTTTTGGCAAGATTTCTAGTTAAAAAAGAAGTGAACAATAGTAATTTTTTTTGCCCTTGTTCTGAGCCTACCTGTTGGAAAAAAAGAGAATTTCTCAGCACCATAGTGTTGAGATAGTCCTAATCTATATAAATAACACCCACCTCTCAAGATTATATAAGAAGTGTAGTGAAATAGTGTTTATAAATGGCCCAGTGTGGGGACCGATGATTTGTGGTTTTAATATATTGATAGTAAAGTACTTTTAAAGTACAAATGATTGCCCCAGAGATTATTTTTCCATTCATTTCTTTGTAACCCAAAATAATGTTCTCATCTGCAAAATGGGAGTGAGATAAAATACGTTTTGTTGAATTGTTACATTAATTATAATTTTTGTCACTAAATTACTTTTTACATTCTCTAGAATCATCACCACCATTACCAGTTTATACTTGTCATGTTCACTGCTGTGTCTTTAGTGCTTTTTACATATGGGTGCTAAGTGCCTTTTACTCTATGAGTAAATAAAACAGAGACAGGAAGGGTGAGGGGGGACTGTTCAATTCCATCTCCTTGTTCAGTCTTTGCAAATACTTGTTGGGCTGTTGAGTTGGGAATGTTGGCCTGGTCTGACGTTTGAGCAAAATTTAGTAACTTTATCTGTGTCTGTCCTCAAAGTCAATGAGGTTAGGGAAGTGATTGAATGTGCTTGTTTTGCTGCATTTAGGATTGCTATCATGTTCACATTGCTTTGCCTGGGAAATGTCATTGATATTTAAGTATCAGAAATGTGTAGTCATGTGTCTTCAAAGATAAATCTCAGTATAAATAGCCCATTCAAATTATGATGAAGATTATGCTCTCATTATTTTAATGTGGTAAGTTTGGTATACTTTGAAACAGTTGGCCTCTGCATGAGAGATGTCACCCATTTGGGTCACATAGTGCATCCCTGCTCTGGATTTTCTCCTGAGCATTTACCAGTTATTCTGCTACCCGAGGGAGTTGTCTGAGGGGAGCCTTTCTGCTTAGCAGGTAACAATTGTACACACATTTTCTTGCTGTGGAAATTGAGCTCCCCCACCGCTGGACAATTATACAATTTCTTTCTTACTTACTTTCTCTCTCTCTCTCTCTCTCTCTCTCTCTCTCTCTCTCTCTCTCTCTCTGTTCTCTTAAGCAAAGGCTTTTTGGAGAGAAATTCCTTTTCTGTGTTTCTTGGGGTAATTTTGGTCCTGGTAGGACAAGGCCTTATGTGGAAGTGCTACATTATAATGTATGTTTTCCTGCTGGTAACCTGGTGTGCTGGTTCTTTTTAACTAGGTGTCTCCTTCCAGCTTCATTTTCTCTGTGTTGTTATTTTTTCCTTGAAATATTTCTAAGGAGTATCATATTCATCCCAGTGGAAGACATTAGCCTAGAAATTTATGTGGTTGTAGTGCCATGGTGTCTTCTTATGGCCATTTCTCTCTGGCTATCATTTATGTTTCCAAAGCATTACTGGCTTCTAAAGATCTGGGTGTTCAGATGTGAATTGAAAAGAGCAGGAAATAGGAGGTGTTGGTTTCTCTTCTAGATCTGTGGCAGCTTCCAGTGAAATATTTCCTGGGGTTAGCTAATATAGTAAGGCAGCAGAAAGCCTGGATTAATATTTTATTTTGAGTCATTGTTATGAAAGCATATATCTCAAAAACAGAAATACGATTTGTCTGAGAATGGTATCTTTTGTAGAGAAGACAGGCATTGCTGTCGCATCTTCCTGACTCCATTGGAGTTCAGTCAGATGTAATTTGCTGTGGAGCCATAAACAGAATTGGAAACTCTCTTCAACTATCAATTCTGCTAATGCCCATTACATCATAGTGAGCCCCATTGCTTAGAATGGCTTAGTTCTTCTTAGTTGAAATAAATTTTAAATAGTGCAATGGATCTGATTCATTGGTTGGAAACACCTAATCTTATAATTTTTCCATTAAAATTGACATGATGTTATTAAAAAATATGTTAGCCCTTGGTCTTATTCTGTGATAGATTGTACATTTTGTTCCCTGTCATTTTATATTACTCTTTTTGTACCAAGTTATAAGGAATATTTGCTGTCTTGTACTCTGAGTTATATGGAAAGTTTCTGTAGACCCCAGGTAACTCAAACTGATACTCAGAGTGTATTGAATTAGTTTATGATATGCACTGGCAGGAAAAGTGTGCTCCCATTTTCGTTTTGTAGGTGCAAAGCCACTCAGTCCCTGTAGCATTGATTGCATATATAATCTTCATTTTAAAAAACATTTTAATTAATTAATTTGGTACAGGGTCTTGCTATGCAGCTTGGACTGGTAGTGATCCTCCTGTCTCAGTTTCCCCAGCACTGGGGTTTTAGGTATGTGCTATATGCCTGGTTTTGGTGGCTGGCACAGTGTACCTGGGGGTTCCGGGGTTGGCATGGCATATGGTACTGGGGATCGAATCTGGGTCCTTGCGCTTGCCAGGCAAGTGCTTAGACCACTGAGCTATCTCCCCAGCCCTATTCTTATTAATCTGAATCTAACATATCTTTTGGGAGTTGAAAAATACAAACATGTTAACTAATAGCATAATATAATGTTTAACTAGAAAATGCAAGGAGAGAGCTTGTTCCCCATACTATAGAGAACATATTAATAGAATTAATACTTTTAACATTTAAGTAAATTGAGAATTGCAATGGATTGGTAAAATGTCTTCCTTTTGAGTTGTGAGTTTTGACAATTAACTTTTATCTTTTCACATAATAGCACTCAGAAGGCCTCAATGACTCTTTTTGATGACTTATAAAATACTGTTATTTCATTTTAGTTGCTACATACTCATTGTACACAGTTAGACTCACTATTATGTTTCCATATGTGACACACATTGACTCTTAGTCTTCTACTAGGGATGAATTTGCTATGCCAATTTTCATACTCAACAGTGAGAAATGCATATTATATCACTGGGTAGACTTCTTGGTGAGTAATATTGAAATCATTCTTTCCTCCCTCCCTTTCACAATTCTGTGTCTACAGCAGGCCACTGATGCTGATGTCGGAACCGACCTTGTCCCTTCCATCACAGTGAAGGTATTGTACCAGGTTGACACAGCAATGTGCAAACCTTGTTACGTTTCATCATGTCTGTCACTGTTGCTACTCTGCAGTAGTTTATAGAAAGGTAAAATAAATGCTTGAAATTTTAGGATTTCTTCAGCTGTGGATAGTAAATGGAAAACTGTCATTGTTATCTGCACATATAAAGCTAAGAGTTGCATATATCGTAATATGCACGTAATAGAAACAATTACTATGAGTGTCTCCTTTATTTAAATGTGTAACATGATCCAGACTTTTGCTCTAGAAACAAAATTAAGATTTTAAATCTGATGGAAATCATGTCATCTTCATTTATAGCAGACCAGTCAGTTGATGGTAGGTGTCATGTGGGGCAGACGGTGAAATCATACTGGGAAGAACATGAATGCTTGTAATATCCCTCTTCTATGTATGGATATATGTGTGCTTGAATAAAATTCCCAGCCATTTATTTGCCATAACATTAGGTCTAAATGGATATATTTATAGTAAGAAAGTATTAAATGAAGAAGCCACAAAGTACAGTAGTGACAAATTCATGGTTCTGGAAAAATAGCATTTGAAGGATGTGGTTTTGGTTAAGCCTTTAGGCCTGTCACTGAAGAATTTTAGACTAGAAATCAAATGCAGAACCTTCCGAAGGCATTTAAAGTGTGGTAATCAGTCAGCATGTCATTAAGCTGAAAATACTTATCACGGCCCAGACCAGAGAAGCCAGGAAAAGCTGTGGATTTTGGCGATTCACTTTGTCAAAACTTGGACAAGGCTTTCTGTTTTCTTAGACTATGAGCTGCTGCCCTTGGAGGAACTCGACAGAGTACAGGCTTCAGCAGTTGTGTTGGAATCCCCTGGGCCTGGCTGGTGGCTCAAGTGTAGAGCTTTTTGGTCAGAGCTGAAGGGAGCCCAATCTTGTAACAGTTTTCTAAGCTAATACTTTTGAATTCTTGCCCCTGAAACAAGGGTGGTCTTTCCCCAGTTTCCCTTCTTCCATCCAATCAAACATTCTATCTCATTAATGCTTTTGTGATTCCAAAAGAATTAGTGGCAAGAAATCAAACACCTAAGGGAAAAATAACTGCCGAGTTCCAGGAATGATCCATACTTTTGTGTCAGGAAACCTCTCTCATACCAGTGTGATGATATTGTTCAGGCACATAACAGAGTAATTCAGGTGCATGCTGTAAATGGCAAAAAGAAATCCTGTGCTGAAATCAGATAATGTTGCGTATGCTGCCCTCCCCAAGCCCAGTCAGTCAGGTGATATTGCCAGAGGTAAACACACTTTTTCTTCTGTGCAGGTCTTAGACTTTCCTAGCCACCTTAAAATTATGGCAGCACACTGTTGGAAAATTCTCCTCCATTAGTGAAATTTACTATCTTTGAGAATGCCTGACTCAACATTTTCTCATTGCTACTGTGAAAGCAGGAAAAAGAATGCAGGATACCATGGTTGCATGGAACTGGCTGGACCCACACTGCAAGCACAGTGATTTCCTGAGCCTGTCTAACAGTTTCTATACACATTTCTGCTGAAAATCTCACTCCTCTTGGCCTTTTGTAACAGTAGGCAAGATGTATAACCTGCAAGTTACCATCGTACTAAGTTCTGTTAATTGAGAAAAAATTTTTCATCTGTTCTGAATGAATGAAGATGTGGCTACCTTGAGTATGTGTGCATGATGCATTACCATTGATTCCAGCAGCAAGGTGGAGTGGCTGCTTGTACCTGGTCTTTTGAGTCATATTTATATATCTAGGATAAAAAACTTGGTATTATATTTCCTAAGGATTATTTTTTATTTTGTTAGAAGCATAAGGTACTATGGAAAATTCTCGTATTAATGTTTTATGTTTTAATAGTGTATACTTAGTTTCCTCTGAAAATGTAAGATTTATGATCTAGCCAGGTTTTTAACTCTTTTTTGGCTCAAGCACAACTATTCTTTGTTACAGTAGTTATTTTTGTCAAATCTCTTTGATTGGTGTTTTATAAGTGCCTAGCACATTGTTTGGATTCAAGCTATCCCAATTGTGCACTTAAGCCAAATACAAATCTCCTTGTAACAATGTAGAATTCTGTTATAGTGTCTAAGTAGACATCATTATGCCAAATAGATGATACGTGCATTTTACTGAAGAGAAGATTCAGAAATGCTTTTCTTAATAAGAATGTCCTTATAATGTGTCTGCTAATATTAGGATGTCTCTCTGTCATATAGCAGAATCTAGTTAGTAACTTGACCCCTTGCAGAGCCAAGGTACCACACAGGAGAGGCTCTTACTCAGGGTGAAAGAGTTACTGGGGTGAGGGATACTACTCTAAAAATAGCAATACTTGAGTCTGCCATGGATTCTGACTTGGTTTGGTGACCCTACTCAAACTGGTGATTGTGCTGTGTATTTTACCACACAAGTCACAACTATCTCAAAGAGACTACACAAAGAGGCTGGAACTTTTATGGGACCAAATTCAAAGAGAGCATGACTGGTGCAAATCAGGTCTTTAAGCTTTTCTTTGATGGCCTAAAAGTAACACTGTAGCACTGTGACCCAATCTTTGGTCTGTTGGTTTCTGCTGAGGCTCCTCCCCAGGTCACAGTGAGAAATCCTGGCTTTCTGAGCCCATCCTCATTGTGTTCCCCAGACAAACTCTTGCCCCTGAACACTTAGGCAGTGATTCTGGATGGTTTTTTTTTTTTTTTTTTAACAACACCAGGCAGGGGCACCAGTTTATTTTATTTTATTTTTTTATACTTCAGAAGGTTATAATGATAAATTTAATATTGTGCATTTTTAAATGCAATAATGAAGAAATCTGTAAAGTTTATAAATCAAGGCAACAATAATACATATTCATTACAGACATAATCAAAATAATTTCCCACTATATTGAGATATGTTTTGTATAAGTTTAAAGTTTACAACACAATTTGATATGTGTGGTGAAATGATTAACAGAAGAAAATTAACATATCTATCACCTAACTGGTTACAGTTTTTCAAAACCAATTTAAATATAGGATACATGATGAATTTATGCAAACAATTAATAAGATATGAGGGGCACCAGTTTAGAAATGTGACTAGTTTAGAAATACATCAGTCAGTGTTACTACTGGTTATGTTATTTATCCTTGTGAGAATCCATGGAAGAAAATGCGGTGCTTATACAGACATCTAGAGTTGAGTAAATCCATTAAGTAAGGAAATCATAATACCTAACTCGCTTAAAGAGAAATGTACAGATACTAGATAAGTGTGTCATGACAATGTAACTATATGTGCAGAAAGATTGAATACATTTATTTCTTGATGTAGGTATTCAATAGCCATAAGGGAAGAGTTTTCTTTTGACAGAACTTTTTAAATAGCTTTACAGAGATATAATTCACATAACACGCAACTACACACTCTGATGACTTTCAGTCTGTTTGCAGAATTGGGGTACCATTTAAAAATGTTTTAAAACTAGGGTGTGACCTAGTTTTAAAACATTTTTTTTTCTGTAATAAAAGACATACCATCCCTATTAGTCATCATTCTCATCTGTCCTATCTGAAAAGAGCCAATAATTTTTCTATAGATTTGCCTAATCTACACTTTTAATATAATAGGATTAAATAATATGTGGTTCTGTGTAACTGTCCTTTTTCACTCAGCCTTCTACTTTCAAGGCTCACATATATTGTCACATGCATTGATACTTCATTTTTTTTGTTGAATACTGTTTTATTATATAGATGTGTCACTTGTTTATCCATTCATCATAATGGACATTTGCATTGTTTCTGCTCTTTGGCTATTATGAATGATGTTGCCATGGGCATTTGTTCAAATTTTTGGGTGATATGTTTTCATTTGTTTTGGCATGGAATTGTAAAGTAGTACAGTAAATTCATGTTCAGATTTTTAAGAAATTGCCAAACTTTTCTTCATTGGCTGTACCTTTTATTTTCCCATTAGCTTTGCTCCAACTTCTTGCAGTTCCTTGTTGTTACATATTGTCTGCCCTTTTGATTATAGTTGTTTCAGTGCATGCATGGTGGTAGAGGATTGTGGTTTTGGTTGGTTTTCCCTTAATGACTAAAGACACTGATTATCCTTGCACTGTACATTAGTCCTTTTTTTTTTTTTTTTTACATTAGTCCTTTTTATATCTTCTTTGTGGAAAAGTCTTTTCATCTCGTTTGCCCATTTTCCAATTTGTAGAATGTTTAATTTCCTGTTTAAGCTCTGTTTTGTGGTTGTTCATTTTTTTCCATAATTTTATTGATAAACAAATAGCAATGAGACAGTTTCAAATCAAATTGGTAGGACAGTTTCAACAATCAACACATTGCATACATTCTTCCCAGTGGTTAATTGCTGTACAAGATGCGGGACATGATATCCTATCTACAAACACCATCAGAACAAATCATTCTATTCATTAAGAGAATGTATATATCTAACCTAACCATTTTGAATACAGAGATACAAAATGGACATTCATCTGTATACCCTTTTTTTTTGTTAAGTTCCGTTATTTGAATATTATGGGTGTGTAAACTCAGCAAAATATTCCAAAAGAGTCCAGTAGCCCATAATAGTATTGGGTCTTCCGCTTGACTGGCATTGTCAGAAGTTGTTGACCTGAGTCCCCTACAGCTCAACATAACAGCATGGCTTTACTTCTTATATTTCGTTTTTATGCTGTGGTTCTTCACTTTATCTTGGCTTTTCTAATTATTTTTTAAGGATGTTTTAAGTGGTTAGAAAAGTCTTTAAATTAGGATAAATGTAATTTTCAATTAATGAAACTTTATATTTCCATAGGTTACACTGCAGAGCCAAATGGCTTTGCAGAAAGCCAAATTGTCAGTCTATGTGCAGCCACCACTAGCACTGACTTGTGATCACTTCAGCTTTGACTTCATGGGTAAGATTTTTGTTTTGGCTTGAAGTTTACTATGGTGCAAGAATTAGAAAAAAAAAACACCATACTCTGTGTTTACTTCCTGGTTACTTTTCTGTTTAAATACTGAAAACGAGATCTGTCTGAAATCAATGTTTGTGCTGCTTTGCTTGTATTTTTCCTGCAAGTTACAAGCATAGACATTCAGTTAATTATTTTTTAAGACTGCATATGTGTAAATGCTTTTTAAATGTAGTAGGGCCTATGATTGTATTTAAATATTGTGATTTGGATGGCCTTCTTTATTGGTGTTTTTTTTTGAATCAGCAACATTTAAAGTATATTAGTTTTAGATTTGGCCTTAGTTTGAGTCCTAACTCTGCCCCTTGCTGGTACATAATTTTGGGCACATGTTTTCAGTAGTTACTTGAAGCCACAATTATGTTAATTGGCATAAGGAATAATGTTATCTCTGGTGCAGGGTATCTTAAAGGTTTAATTAGAAAATTATTAGATTCCATGACAGTGCCTAAAATAGAAGACATGGTCATGTTATAAATGGAAACTCTTGGGGCCAGGGAGATGGCTCAGTGGAATAAGCACTTCCCTGTCAAGCGCAAAGGCCTGAGTTCAATTCCTGGTTCTGCCAAAACAAACAAACAAACAAACAAAACAAAAAAACAAACAAAATAAATGGAAACTCTTAGAAAGGTCTGTTTTTGTTGACTCTTTCACTTATAGTCACTTACATCCAGGTTGTCACCAGTCCTGTTATATATGATCATTGAATCATCTTTCATATTGTGTGTGTTTGTGTGATTGTGTATGTAGGAAAGCTCTTCAGCTAAGGCTTCTGTTTCATTCTTGAAGTCAAGAACACATCTGCCCTTTTGGGCTCTGTGTAACTTACCTTTAGCTGTGTTCAGCAGCTCCAAGGACCTTGTTCTATTCTTGCTTCTCACTGAATGACCAAATACACGAATGATTACTTGACACAAACTTTTTGGGGGATGCATGGTCATTTGATTCTCAATTATTTTTCAATTTTTTTATAGTACTCCAACTTATCTGTAAAACATACTTGGGATAGTGTTTTTCCTGTTAAAAGTGCCATGGGTCTCTAGTGCTGGTTGGAGGCCACACACTTTAGCTTACAGGGTGTTCACAGTGTATTGAGTGCTGCTGTTACCTCCACATTCATTTCCCTCTTCCCATTTGCCCTGCAGCATGCTCTGCTTATGACAAGGTACTGTGCTGCCCCTAAATTCTTCTGCCTTCTGTGTGATGCTTTCTCTGCCTGTGTCTCTCAGTCAAGAGGAGCAGTGGTGCAGAGTGCTGGGTGCATTGTTCTGAAGTCAGTTTCTCTCTCTGGATCCAGCTGCATGACCTGGGCAGTCTTCTTCATGTCTCTGTCCCGTAGTTTTCTCATACATGGGAAGCAGGAACAGCATTGACTCTCATCCTACAGGGTTGCTGTGAAGATTCTATGCATTACTCTGTTTAAAGTGCTCTTGACAGTACCTGGAACATAGTGTGTGTTTTACTAACTGTTGTTAATAACACCTGCCTTGATTATGTAATTTATATTACTTGTGATTTGCTTATAGCTCCAGAGACGACTAGCACAGTCGCCTTTTCAGTGTATCTCAAAAGAAGTTATGCACCATCTGAATTGGAAGGAAATGCTGTTGTTTCTTATTTCCGACCCACAGGTAAACACGTAATTGTTAACAAACCTATAAGCCTATTCATTTCTTTAAATTATCAGAGTTATGAGTTAAGTGATGATGTGCTTCAGGTGGGAAAACATAGTATAAATTATAATTAAATTGAAATATTCTTTTCTACTTTCAAAAATTGTATCTTCTGGTTTCTTTTATGTGCTATTAGTAGTTAATGATGTATCTGTTTAGCTAGTTTCCATGTATAATATTTGGTTTCCTCTTTTTTCCCCTCTCTTTAAGGGAAAAAGGTTTATTTAGCTCCTAGTATATAGAGAGTTCAGTCCATAATCTTCTGTCTCCAAGGCCAGGTGGCATAGCTGACTGACATTACAGAAGAGAAACAGTTCATGATGGGTCCAAGTTAGCAAAGCAACAAGGGCTTTGTTTTTCTCTTTTTAGTTAATAATAAATCTTATATTTTTACTTCCACTAGAGAAACATTGCACAGCTCAGACTTCATTTATTCAAGCTTAAGAAAAGGCTAGTCTTGGGGCCAGGGAGATGGCTCATTAGAATAAGTGCTTGCCTGGCAAGTGCAAGGGCCTGAGTTCAATCCCTGGTTCTAAAAAAAAAAAAAAAAAAAAGAAAGAAAAAGAAAAATGTGATTGCCATGTTTACACCACATTCTTTGGGCCAGGGAGATGGCTCAGTAGCATACATGGTTTCCTGGCAAACACAAAGGTCTGAGTTCAATCCCTGGTTCTGCAAAAAAAAAAAGAAAAGAAAGAAAAGGCTAGTCTCAACTAGTAACAACAATAAAAAAGAGTCTTATAGATTACTTTAACATTAAAACAGTAATGCAGTAGTAAGGATGTATTACTTTAACATTCAAGCCTGTGGGGTTTTAGATACACATTTAATGACTGAATAAAAGTCCTTTAGTATTGGGCTGGGTGGTGGCTCAATGGCCTAAGTGCCTGCCTGAAAAGCATAAGGTTCTGAGTTTGATCCCTGGTACCAAACAAAAGCAGCAACAACAAAAATCTCCTTAACGTTTTATGTGTTAAAATATTTAAGAACAGATCATTAAAATTTGGTTTGCGTTTTTAAAATAAACTCTTCAGATTTTAAAAGGTGTCTTTAGTCCAGAGGAGATTCAACTATAGTAAATTTAAACTTAGTTGAGTCCAATTAGACAGTTTCATTTTTTTTCTTATGAATTTTTCCTGGTAGCAGTTTGATATCAGATGATTTGTTATTACCTCTTTAAAAAATTTAAACATGCAGTAGGTGATAAAGCATTAAAGCATAGTGTGTTTATATCTTTGAAGCATTTCTGTACAAGTTTCATAGTTTAAAAAGGCTTAAAATGGCTCATTCATCTTTCATTTATGCTATTTGCATATTTGGCAATGCTTTTTGTAATTGTAATTGGTCTAAATGAATTTTCTTATTCACTGACAATTCTGTGTATTGTGACATTGTATAATTTAGGTATGTGTTTAGAACTTTCTTGCTTTTGTAAGTTATTATTATTATTATTTTTCTGTATTTAGGACAGAATCTACAGGGTCTACAGGGTCTCATTATGCAGATAGGACTGGTAGTGATTTTCCTGTTTTCAGCCTATCAAGTGCTGAGATTACAGGTGTGCACCACCACACCCTGTCTCACTCATCATCTCAGCGCACTCTGGGGGTGGGGCTGGCATGGCATACCAGGGATTGAACCCCAGCCACTGTGCTTTGCCTAATTACTTTTCTTTGTATTAAAATTAATTTTAGCTAGAAATGACACTTAACATTCACCATATTTTAGAATATGAGATTATATAATAACAAATATTTTTATGTTAAATAACGTTCATGAAACTGGCTTCATTAAGAAATAAAAATCTTAGTGGACTAAGTGCTTGCTTAGGTGCTCTGAGCCTGTGACAGACTGGGTGTGGTGGCGTTCGCCTGTAATCCCAGCACTGGGTAGGCTGAAAACAGGAGGATCACTATGAGTCTGAGCTGTGCGGTGAAACCCTGTATTAAATACATTAAAAAAAGAAAAGATAAAACAGAAAGAAAAGAAAGAAAGAAAAACTTCATAAAGAATTAAGGAATGATGGAGAACTTGGTTGGGTATTTCTGATGTGAATATTGAGGTTTGCAATCTTATTTTATTTTATTTTAATATATTTGGTACAGGGTCTCACTATGCAGCTTGAACTCCTAGTGATCTTCCTGTTTTCAGCATCCCAGTGGCAGGCTCAGCGTGGTGGGGCCAGCGTGGCATGGGTGCTGGTGATTGAACTCAGGTCCCTGTGCTTGCCTAGGCAGGCACTTAGTCTGCTGAGCTGTTTCGCCAGCCCTTCTTATTTTTGTTTTGAGTTGTAAAATAAAGTGGCAGAAATATTTGGCTATAATCTGTAGAACTTTTATCATTAATTGAATATTTCTACAGTCAGGAATTATTACACTTGGTAGTTGTGGAGACTGATGGCATCTTAAGTAATTCTCAAGTAAAGAAGTTTCAAGTAAAGCTAGCGACACTGGGTTGAAAATAAATTTAAAATAGAGAAATTGGTAATTGCAAATAGACAGAATGCTTAAAATGCATGAGAATTTTAAAATTAGTTTGTGAGCTTATGGTTACACATGCCAAAGTTACTGTACTTTTCTATAGATTGAATTAAAAGATTATAAATTATTGCTGAACCTGAAAGCTTATATATTAATTGTTTGAAAGCAGATTATAAACAAATGTTGAAAAAGTATGTAAAAATAAACGAGTACCAAGACAAACTGCAAAAACCCAAACAAACATTACTCTACTGAAATTATTTTAAGTAAGAGTAAGTAGAAATATGTATTTGGTCTCTTGAGTTTATTTTTGTTTAATACTCAATGCATTTATATTCTGAGAGTTTGGATGTCTGGCTGGATCGTAGATCTTTACCTCTGTTGCTGCAGTTACACTAGACTAATACTCATGGGATCCTAGGGGAGGATGTGTGATCCACTGATAGAGTTTGTTTATTCACTTGGACTGTCCAGTGGGGAAGACTTCCCTATTCACTGGAGGGCATTTACATCTCAGAGTCTCTCCAGTGTGTTAATTTGTGTTTTAGGCACACATGTTAAATTTGTTTTGTAATGTTGTTGTGGATAACTTGTTGCATTTTTTTCTCTCCTATTCCTTTTTGCATTGCCTCTGATGGACAGATCGAAATCCTGATGGTAAGTGAAAAGAAAAAAAAGTTTTGAATTGAATAGTATTATATCATGAATAAAGTATTTGTATAAACTGCTGTTTTATTTTAATCATACAAACTTCTTTAGGATGATTGAATATCTTCATTGTCTTTTGGAAACAGTGGTAGATGTTTCCACAGGAAATTATCAATTTTAAGTGTTTCAGAGTCATGAGAAATAAAGGTAGGCGTAAGAACACAATGACTGTTTAGAAAAACATCATTGGTATTGTTGACAACTTATTTCTGAAAGTCATTGATTATTACCTGCCTGCTGTCATTTTATTTAAGTGAAAATAAAGAATAAGAAAAAAAAGTATTTGTAACTAAGTTCTAAATTGTTTTCCTACTGTGCAAGGGTTCTTAATTTTCTATCTGATATGATTGTCTATGTAATCATTTTGTAAGACCGTTTTCTTTTTTATTTAGAATTTGTTGGAGACTATGATCAAAGGTCTGGCCGCTTGGCAGGGTGCAGTGGTGCATGCCTGTAATTCTAGCTTTGTGGGAGGCTGAGGTGGGAAGATGGCAAGTTTGCAGCCAGCCCGGGCCATTTAAGGAGACCTTGTCTCAGAAACCAAAAAACTAAGCAAACAAATGAATGTCTGTCCCCTAGAACTTGCTTGGGTCAGTGTTGTA